GAGAGAGAGAGAGAGAGAGAGAGAGAGAGAGAGAGAGAGAGAGAGAGAGAGAGAGAGAGAGTTCCTTAGGCCCCTGTACGAGGATGACACAAGGATCGGGAAATCGACCTTTTTTTTTTTTTTAAAGAAAGCCTTAGGGGAGAGAGAGAGAAGCAGCGATGGCAGGAGGAGGGAGGAAGGAACAATGGTGGGAGTGAGGAGAGATGATGGCAGAAGGCGGGAGAAAGGCAGAAGGAGGGGTGGTTGGAAGCGGACGAAGAAAGTCGGAAGGAGGGAGAAAGGTGGACGGAGGGAGGAAAGATGATGTTGGGAGGAGGAAGTTGAGAGAGAGAAAAGTCTTTCGAGACTTCTGTTCAAATCGGAACGATACAGAGAAGATTAACAAGGCCCCTGTGCGAGGATGACATGCGTCAATCGAGAAATCGTCGAGAGAGAGAGAGAGAGAGAGAGAGAGAGAGAGGAAGGAGGGGAGAGAGAGATAGGCTGGTGCTTACCCACCTGACAATGCCGGGGACTGCTGCTGCACAGGAGACACGAAGACGAGAACGCGATGGGCAACGCACGGCAGCTGCAAAGGAGGACACAACTTCGGGGCAGAAAGGTGGACTACCGGGGTGTCTCCAGCCAGCGTGGGGCAGCCCCGAGTAGTTCAAAATCCTACTGGCTTGAGCTCCCGGGTATTTTTTTTGGAGGCCCCGCGCAGCCTCAAATTTTTTTTTTTTTTTTTTTTTACAGTTCACGCTACATCCTACTCGGGCATACTACCCCCCTCCCCAACTTTCTTTTTTTTGCCCGACCCCTTGTTTTCAGGGTGCACAAGTGCGCGCGCATCATGCGCTGTGCGTGGTGCGCGGTGCCGCACAACTCAATGCGCCGCAAGTATGGTTCTAATCCCTGGAAGGTTGGGGATACATCTTGAGTAGCGACTGCCCCTGGAATCGAGAGTGTACGCTCGGCGGGCACCGAATCCTGTTGTGCAGGTGAGTCGTGAATATCTAATGCTGCAGGGCAAAAAACACGGTTTTGTTGCTGCCTGCAGGAAGCTGGACTGTCCCAAGGGGTTGCATAAGCGTGGATGTTGCCGTTTGGGACAAAGGAAGCGCAACAACCTGTGGAGAAGGCACAGAGAGAATCTGGGCAGACAAACACGCTGCAGATCCCCTGACAAACAGCAATGCGGTGCACGCCACCGATGATACACAATAAGAAGAGAAGCGGTGTGGCCAACCAGAGATGAGCATGTTTCTGCCAACAGAGGTGGAACAATCATGCGAACAATGGGAAGAGGAGAGTCTGTTCACAAGCGAGACCATGGAGGAGACGGGGCTGGCGAGGAGGAACACAGCCGTATGCAGCCAAGGACAGAAAGTGATGAGAGGGGAGCTGATTGGGCAAGAGTTTGAAATAAAGGACGTGCGTGTCAGAGAGAGTGTAATGTTCTTTGCACTGGAATTGTGGCAGAGGAAGCTGTACCAGCAAGAACTACAGCACGGGAATTTCCAGCAGCGAAAACTGCAACAGCTCCAGTGAAAACTTTACCAGAGGAAACTGGGGCAGCGGAAACTGTAGCAGTGGAAACTACAGTAGTCGGAACGGAAGCAATAGAGCTGCAGCATTAGAAATTGCTGCAGCAGACACTTCAGCAATAGCAGATGAGCAAGCAGGGGCAGCAAGAACGCTTCGTGAGGGCAAAGAAGAAAGTGAATGATACAGGGACCATTGCAGCATGCGTCAGAATGACTGAGAGAGACATGTCACATGTGTACGATAGCATCAATCCGTTGTAAAGGCCAAATTGCAAAATTGAATGTTGGTTGCCCACACATTGTATGGTAGAGATGGCGTAAAAAAAAACACAAAAAAAAAGCTGGAGATAGCGATGGCAAAAGGCATCAGAAAGTAATAAGCAACCGGACTGGTGCCCCCAGAATAGAAGGGGCTGTGTGTGTTTGCTGTTGTAAACACCCAAGAAAAAAAAGGCATCAGAAAGTATCGCGTATGCCAATGCTCTTGCAGCTGTCGATGTGCAGAATGCACCATCTGTCCAACATAAAACATCCAGAGGGCTGATGAACAATTGCATAGATCACTCCTCAGACAGTGAGGGGATCCTACCGTTGTCCTTTTGGTCTGCTGTTCACCACTAGCAGCATTATCAATGAGGGAGTTCGGTATAACTGCAAAACAGCGTCTCCCAGTGACTGTGCTCGCAGCTGCAATGCCAGGAGCCTTGCACCAACGGACCAACGGCGACACATGCATCAACCAGCGTAGAAGGATTATCTCAAAGAACATGGAACAAGAGGTGAGTGCGCATGGGGGCAGCAGAGCGGGTGTGGCCGACCTTAGGCAGGCCGTTACTATACCCACTGCACGGGAAAGGGGGATGATCTATACTCATATATACGGGGGGGGAGAGAGAGAGAGAGAGAGAGAGAGAGAGAGAGCTGTCTCTTATACACATCTAGATGTGTATAAGAGACAGGAGAGAGAGAGAGAGAGAGAGAGAGAGAGAGAGAGAGTTAAAAAACTTGTCTAAATTTGTGTGCATTATCCTTGCCCCAAGGGGCATGCTAATTGATTTCCTCTGTATGCTATAGTTCAAATTTGAACAGATGTCCAAAAAGACTGACTGATGTCCTAGGTCCATTGAAGGCTTGACCCTGATTCTTTCTTTTGTAATTTGTCTCTTTTTCTTTTACCTTGAGGCTCAACTTCCCAATGTGCAAGCCTGTCACTCCATCACGGACAGAGTCCAGCAGACCACCAGTGGACGCCACCACAGGAACCTGCACCATTATTGTCAATATAGTGATAACGATAAGGTGCCATAAGTGAACATCTTTTTTTCCCCCCAAAGAGAGAAGTACAAGGTTTTGCAAGTGCGCATCTCAATCGAGCTCTTACCATGAAGGGACCTTGGCCATTGAGCAGGTGATTAACAAGAAAAAGAGAAAAAAGGACATCAAAAAACATATTGGACCTGAGTCTTTCGACTTTGGACACTTCTACCTTCAACATGGTGAATCAGGGCATGCCATGTCCGTTAGGACAGTCACAGAAGCACACCAGGGGCCAAGTCCCACTAGCAGCACTGAGTCTCCTCAACGCCTGAATCTGGATGTGTTCGCGGAGATGTGCGGTTGAGGAAACCCCACGCGATTTCTGCACATCTCCACAAACACGTTCAGATTCAGGCGTTGAGGAATCTCAATGCTGCTAGTGGGACTTAGTCCCAGAAGAAGATGAGGAGAACCTGCAAACCTAAACATCATTATGATAAAACAATAATTTTAATTTATTTAATTATTAAAAAAAAAAAAAAAGTAAAATATTAAAATTATGCAAAGAAAATGCTGTAACATATGGGAATCTCATCCTTCCTTGCATGAATCGGACTCGAAAAGGGAAGCAGGTTCACAACCTTACCATTGCGAAACTTAAGGGACCAGGTCCTCAATCCTGCTATTCGACCAAACTGGACCGAAACAGGGACCCAGTCCTCAACCCTTGCAATTCGACAGAAAGGGACCAATAGGGACCAAAAAAGGGACCAAGAAAGGTACCGAAAGGAACCAAAAGGGATGGCATGCTCAACCTCATCATTGTGAAAGGGACCAGGTTTGTGTCACATGTCTCCCTCATTCTGTGGTCGGTGCGATTTCAATCAGGATCAATGGACATATGATTTGCTGCCCTTCGTGGCAACAAGGTTTGGTTCGCCGCCAAGGGTGTCCTCCCTCTCCCGCATTTTTCTGCTGTATATATTGAAGGACAGCATGGGAAAAATTTTCGATATGCCCCTGAAAGTTCGATTTATTCGCAGCATGGCCCTCTAACGGCCGACTTACCCTGTCGCGCCCCTCTGACAGCGATTGAAGTTTCCCCAAAACCCCTGGCGTTGTTTGGGCCTGGAATATGTTCAATACGCCCCTACCGGTACCGGTTCCAAATTTCCTGTAGGCCCCAGTAGATCCCCTCCCAGGGCCAGGGGAACGGCCGCGAGTGCCACCAACGGCCACAAGGGCATGCTGGAAAGTTGCGCCCCTCTGGCGTTGTTTGGGCCTGGACTATGTTCAATATGCCCCTACCAGTACGGGTTCCAAATTTCCAGTATGCCTTGGTAGATCCCCTCCCAGGGCCAGGGGAACGGACGCAGGTGCCACCAACGGCAAAAAGGACATGCTGGAAACTTGCACTCCTCACTGACAGGGGCCTGCAGGAAAGTTCAGAGGCCCCAGGGGCACAACAGGGTAAGTAGGCCATCAGAGGGGGACGACAGGGTAAGTCGGCCATCGGAGGGGCACACCGCAAGTAAATCGAACTTTCAGGGGCATATCAAAAGTTCTCCCGACAGCATGATATGATCAGGGTGAAGGAAGCCATCCAGGGGTTTGAAGCGGGGGCAGCTGAAGTTAAACTCCCCTGCGTTTGCCAACGATATGTGACCAGGGGGTCGTTGCAAAAGCCACGCAGGATCAGCTGCAGACGTTACCGGTATTGATTTAAATGTTTTCCGTCTAAGAGGGGGCAAGAGTCAACTGGAGGGAGTTAGGCCTCCTTAGATATGTAGGTGTGACGCTGGCTAATAAAGGTGCATTGGGATGTTATGGGCCTTATGGCAGCAGCATATTCGTAAAATGGTGGCGAAGGCAAAAGCGGTGTCCTGGCTGGGAAACGGTGCTTGGCGCTTTGGCCCAGCTTCTGGCCAGTATTTGGTCGGTGGGAGCTATACACATGCCTTCCGTCAAATGATTCAGGCATTTGAAGACGGCGTTAGGAAATCCGAAATTCCCTATGGTTAACAGATCCCTTGGCGGGTAATAGCATTATAATTTATAAGAGGGTGCCATAGGTCAAGCTTATACAGCATTTTTCGTTTCTCTTTCTGGGTCTTCTTTTTTACAGCCTAGACCAGTGTTGTTGGACCCAAAGTGTCAGGTGTAAAAAAAGTCAGCACAAGTGTTAAAAGGCGTTTTTCTCTGCGTACGGATCCGGGCCGCCTGGCCGACTGCCGCCTGCCCGGGGTAGGTCCCGGGCGGCCCGGTTGGGGGCCGGCCCCCCCCAGCACACCTTGTTGGCGGGGGGTTCCCGACCCCAATTCGGGGAGATTTCGCCTCCCCAGGGCCTACCGGGTCCGACCACGGCCAGAAAACGGCGCGTCGAGCCCGTGAGGCCTGTTTTTTTTTCTTGAATTTGGGACAGCCCTCTGGCCGTCGATCATCCATGATCGACGGCCCGAGGGCCGTTCGTTTTTGGAGGGAAAACGGAGGCCCCGTTTGAAAAAGTCACTGGCTGGGGCGGCCTGCATTCGCTGTCCAAACGGGCGTCGACACCTGCTGTAGCCGGCTGCGTTTGTCGTTGAGTCGCCCGTCGTCGAAGTAGCTGCCCCTCGTCGCCATTGCCTGGGAGCTTTACTCGCCCGTCGTCGTCGTGTAGCCCATCGCCCGTCGCCAGCGTCCTCCATCGCGGTGCTCCTGCCTGCCGACAACCCCTACCGCCCGTCGACGTGGAGTGCCGGTCTGTTCTTCTTCTTCTTCTTCTTCTTCTTCTTCTTCTTCTTCTTCTTCTTCTTCTTCTTCTTCTTCCCTCCTCCTCCTCCGCTCATTCTTCTTCTTCTTCTTCTCTCCTCCTCCTCCTCCTCCCCCTCTCGTCTTCTTCTTCTTCTTCTTCTTCTTCTTCTTCTTCTTCTTCTTCTTCTTCTTCTTCTACCTCTTCTGCTTTTCTTCTTCCACGACTTCTTCAGTCCTCCTCCTCCTCCCCCTCTCATCTTCTTCTTCTTCTTCTTCACTATCTCTCGTCGTCGTCCTCCCCCTCATCTTCTTCTTCTTATTCTTCTCTCCTCCGCCTCCTCTTCCGACTATCTTCTTTTTCTTCTTTTTTTTTTTACATTCGTTAGCGATAGGTCGCGAGATAAACGACAGGTAAGGGGAAAAAAAAAAACTGCTCCGCTCGTCATCCTCTTCTTCTTCTTCTTCTTCTTCGCCGATCATTCCTCCGCCTCTTGTCTCCTCCTCCTCCTCCCTCTCCTCTCCTCATCATCTTCTTCTTCTGCTTCTTCTTCTTCTTCTTCTTCTTCTTCTTCTTCTTCTTCTTCTTCTTCTTCTTCTTGTAGGACCGCCGCCACAGCCCGCCGCCATACCCCGCCACAATACCATACCGCCCTGCCGCCGCAGCCATCTTCTTCTTCTTCTTCTTCTTCTTCTTCTTCTTCTTCTTCTTCTTCTTCTTCTTCATCTTCTTCTTGTAGGACCGCCGCCACAGCCCGCCACCATACGATACCTCCCTGCCGCCGCCGCAATCTTCTTCTTCTTCTTCTTCTTCTTCTTCTTCTTCTTCTTCTTCTTGTACGACCGTCGCCACAGCCCGCCGCCATACCCCGCCACCATACCGCCCTGCCGCCACCGCCATCTTCTTCTTCTTCTTCTTCTTCTTCTTCTTCTTCTTCTTCTTCTTCTTCTTCTTTACATTCGTTAGCGATAGGTTGCGAGATCAACGACAGGCAAGAAAAAAAAAAAAAAAACTGCTCCGCTCGTCATCCTCTTCTTCTTCTTCTTCTTCTTCTTCTTCTTCTTCTTCTTCTTCTTCTTCTTCTTCTTCC